ACTGTGCAAATTGATTTGCCAACATGGATACCACTTGAGTACCATTGGTTATTCCTAATTCTTCACTTCAACGTGACTTACTGATCTTGAGTATTGAAGGAAGGTAGTACTATTGAAGGTTGTGGTGTGCTCGAATCGATTAAGATTCCATACATCCTTCTGTATTTAGGCAAATCTTACATCTTTTTTAAAATTTAGGTTCTGATCACAATTTTCACACCTTTTTCATGCTTTAATGCAACGGCTGTCTTGATATTGTTGTATTTGTTGAAATAGTGCAACAAATGACCCTCGCGACTGTAGTCGGAAGATTTTTTTATAATCTAGTGCTCATTTTTATAAATCAAGTCACCATCCCCCCAATGTCTAGACGACACTCCAATTACTGAATACAACCATCACGCATAAAATTTTACCAACATGATCATCATCTGTGAAAGCGCAATCGCGGTTACGGAAAGGAGCCAGTCGTAATTAAGCGAGGTCATAAATCATGTCGACCTGGTTGAATCCAGGGCAATTCCTTAACAGGGCCCCTTTTTAAGAAAGATTTGAGGACAAATCCTGTAGTTTTACACAAAAAATCACATACGGAAGGACTTTGCAGTGATTTTAAATTTGAATCAATCTGTCACAGATTTATACACAAGACTGGCAACAGTTTCGGTGAATACAAAATACGTGGAGATTATCAAGTTTCGCAATTTCTAATTGAAGGAGCTGAATGGAAGGAATTTGGTCAAAATGGAAAACTTCTACGCAAGCCGATTCAACCATCATCAATGCACTGATGCGCCACTGTGAAAAGTGCATTAACATCGTCCAAATTCACATTCATTAACTCAGACGTCGCCTACACAGACTCGCCTATCGATTTTGCGGAACCGCCGTTTATACACCCGTTTCGCTCATGCCATTTGTACTTTTAGTGGTTCCCCCAGGTTGTATTGATAAACAATTCCAACAAAAATTAGCGCTTTTCTCTGAGTGGCCCAATTGGGTAAATACAATGCGATGCTAACAAACTATCTTGCTAAAATAGCAAATCACCATGTCTATTCTCATTCATAAAGGATTCCTCATTTCCGTTTGGTTCACGAAATTCGAAAGTTATTAGCGCGAAGGCCCCTCTTTTTTACACTTCTATTGGTGGACTCCGTTTCAGCAATTATGCCACGTTGACCTTGAAACGAAGAGAAAATGGTTAGGGCCACATAAGTGTTTCACCCAGCGGCATGTTATGTCCACGGTTTCGCAACACAGAGGTATGAGGAGTCACCAGCCTTGCCTTCTGTGATTAAAATGTTCGTTTTATGCAACTCAACTCTTAAAATAGTGAATTTTAGCATTAAAGTTATTGGCCAGGTTTTGCAATATGCAATAGTATTTGTGCACCATGATGGACATTGATACCATCTCACCCTACTAGTAGACCAACGAAACAAATTTCGTAGATGCAATATTCCCTCGGTACTTGTAAGATGTGCTTCACTTTAGACATGGAAATGGAAAACACTGATACAATCATGACAATTTGTTTAGTCTGATAAAGGACCTTGGTAAATTATAATAAATTGCAGTTTATCCCGATTTAAACATAACTGATCTTTTTTACCAAGATATAGATTTAGCTAAGATATCTGCGCTCGATACTACGTGATTTCTGTCTCGCCTTTGACATAGAAATTAGATTTGTACAAATAGTGTTAGCACTGAATGCACAGACGTAATAGGTCAAAACTCTCAGCGCGAGGTTCAAGCTGTCCCCATAACTAACTGATTGGTTAGGCCAGGAAAGAATATCTAGCCTTAAGATACACACAAAATATAAAGTCTTAGTTAAGGGAAAATAGTGATAATCGAATTTTAAGTATTTTTTTAAAGAGCGCAGCTTCTAAAGAGTTATGAATCTTGCCTAATTTAAACAAAATTAGGAGCATTAGATATCGATGTAATACACATTGAATAAGAGCTCAGGGGGTTTAAATTACGGTAACTTTTTAGACTTTATGATTTATTATTTAGTAGGTTTAAAATTCATTGGGAGGCCATGATCTCTCCCATGTTACATTCAAAATATGGTACGAAAATACGTTTGGATTCTTTGGCACCACACACCCTTATCAATACATCCGCATGATTTTTTGCTTAAGGTTAAATAGAGTAAATTTGCAAAATCCAGTTTTTATGTAGTGTGGACCTTTATAATTCAAACTGACCTATTAAACTGTGAACTAAATGGAAAGATACTAAAGGTCGAATAAGACGTAACTCAAAAATCATACCTTTATGAAATTCTAACTCCGAACTCTAACTACACTTTAACAGGTAAGCTTTTAATCAGAACTCGGCTGGGCTCCAAAAACACCATCCAGATTTTCTATTCTTTATTAATTAACCCTATTGGTTATTGAGGGCAATATGATAAAAAAAGTACAAAATTTAGTCCAGCTAGCACTTGACGAATAAAGTTGCAGAAAGTTTAAGCAGCACTTCGTGTTCAAATAATTAGTGTAACTTCAAGCCAACAAAGGACCAAGCATCGAAAATTGTTCGGTACTTCAGACGGCTGTGCTGGAATCAGGTAAATTTGTAAAAACCACATAAAATTATTGAGCGACAGCAGTCAGTCATAGTTGGGGTCGCAACATCTTCACACGACTCCAATCATGCAGCGTTTTCTTGGGGAACGTTGAACAAACATAACAAATCACCATTTTATTAGCACACTCTCCATTTTCGTGGTAGCAAATCAAATTAAGGCATCGCAGTAGTATGTCTGTTTGGCGCAGGCGTCGTGTTCGTGTATTGACCGAAAAACCTTTGCATTGGGTCTGTTAGAAATGCCTTGACAAATTATGCAGCGAAAATGATTTTGTTCACAACTGGGGGGGGGGACTTGGGTGACTGCCAATGTTTTTCATTGAAAAATTGTCCAAATGTGCATTAAAAATGATTCCTCAATTGGATCAGGAGCACAAGGTGGTCATTAAGACCTGCGCGTGTAATTGGACGAGGAACTACTACAGTTGTGGAAATCAAACAAAATGCATTGCGAAACAAGGTTATGCGTCAGAGACTTACACCAATCGGTACCAAAGAACACTTAATCTGCTGGGTAGAATTTTTTCAGAGCATTTTGGTGGCTGTATCTGCGGTAATAAGTAGAAAACAAAGGTAAATCGTTTGCATAGACACAGCAAGAAATTAATAAGAAATGATTACCCGATAAAACTGACTTAATTTTTAGTGAAAAATACTCTGACTCAATAGGACCCAAAAAATTTCCCTTATTTGTGAGAAGTCAATTAACATACAAAAAATAACGTGGATATCTCAACTATGCTATTAAATTTCGTCATTCTCACATATGACATTTAAAACAAAAGTGAAAAGAGCGGCATTAAATCGGCATCTGAAATTGAATGGAGCCTATAGGGGCACTTCCAAAACCGGTATTGCCACAACTTCCAGAACCTAAGCAATAAGTATTCCTTTTTCCTTCACTGACCTACATACATAGCAACGATAATCATAGCACATTGACATAAGTAATGTTATTCAAGAATCATTCCGAATTTGCTCATCAGTATTGCAAAGAATCCAATCAGAGTCATCTCTTTCATACTTTCTTTTAACTTTAAGGCCAGGAAGGATTTGAAAAACATATTAGCTTTATCTCATGTAAAACCAGCATTTTTGACCAACGTGTGTGTAAACACTCCGACGTTTAAACCAGTAAACTCGATCTATTTCTCTCCAAATTGCGGATTAGTACTTTTAAGGGTAAATTAGGAAATACAAATTTGCATGTGGGTAGTGCGCACTTTTCACCCTGCAAAGGCAATGGCGGCATTCTCACACAATCGCAAGTCCATTAGTCAATTACTTTCTTTAATAAATAAAGTTCTTAGAGGAAACTAATAACCTGAATTCACAAATCGTGAAAACGCCATATTGAACAAGCTGTGTATATGCCTGCGTTTAGAAATATATTTTTATAGCATTACTTTAGTCTTCGTTTTACCTTTCAGCCTCCCAAAAACTACTAAAATTATATTTCGATAGTTAATTCACTTGTGTGGTATAACCAATAAATTTGGGGATTTCTGTGCAAAAATCGAAAATATACCATCACTTGATGAAAGCAAAATAGCCTTATCAGTTGGGCCTAAATGCTCACGTCGTGGGTGGCTAAGTTTTCCGCAATCGCAGGTTCTACATATTCTTCAAATATTCGTGAGTTCGTCCATGTTACATTACTTCTTTAGACCTTAGTGCCAATTCATGCGGGTACTGGTACACAAAACTGCAGCGGCAAAAACGTCCAAAAACACCGCAAAAGAACCCCCCAGTTTACAGCTTTGACTGTATGTTTGAGGTATCGATCACCTGTATTTAGGGGAACACAGACGGTTTCAACCCTCCGACCCAAAGGCTGTCATCCCAGCTATTGCAGAAATGCCAGAATTCCAACAGTATTTGATACTTTGTCTAATTCTATAATTTTCACCATTAAGATTGACAGATGATCAAAAGAAAATATTTACTTGGGGCTCAAATTTGGTGGTAACTTTTTAGTCATTTTAATGTACGAAGTCCTATGACTACCAATATCAACTGTCAAATCTTATGGCTGCCTATGGCAAGCACCCAACAGACGACTCCCTTCTAGCAAAAGGTACCCTGTATAACCACGGTGACGTTCTTTTCATTCTAGTTTTGAAAATGTCCTTTAAAATTTGGTACAATAAGGCTGTGCTCGAAGAATTTCCACGCGTAATTTCTGGACTCAATGTAACGGGATACTTTGCTAGGTTTCTACACTTAGGTCAGCGACAACGTCCCTAGTTCAGAGAAGAATGCGACTACTCAGGCGATTGAGGGCCCTAAATAAAGACGATTATGCGAAGGCTTTGGAATTTCTAAACATCAAAAGCGTCCGACATATCGACCAGTTTGATTTTGGGGAGTGTACCGAAACAGATAAACGGAAGGCCGAAGCACGAAGTGCATGCTACCAGGCAAGCTAAGCATCTTTTATTGTTATTCCAAGATTATTTTTTGCATTGTTAGGACGTTGTATGTGTGCCTTTTATATTTTAGCAACGGCTTGCTAAGTTAGCTCGTTTCAAGAAGGACCTTGCTGCCAAAAAAGAGGAATTTTTCGTCCAGAAGGAGAAAGAATTAAAAGAATTAGTCGAGAAATTGACGGAGTTGGGGTTGGAAAGAAAAGATGCCGAAGACAAACTACAGGGACTATTTGACATCATTGTTGAAGAACGTCGGGTTGAGGCTCTTGCACCAACTCAGGTTGACAAACTTCACTGGTATGCTAAAGAACGAGTGCTACGCGAGCATGTAATAAACTCCATTTTGGAACGGGAAGCGCAGCACTTGCGCTCAAGGAGGAAATGAGTGTAAATTTCTTAATAGCATTACATCTTTATTAGCAAGTGGCCTTTTTATTATTAGAAGACGAGACATCATAAAATGCAGTCGTACTTGCATGTACGTATACACGATCCTACCACGTGGGAGGGTGCTGGCCTTTACGGGTGTCTGTGTGCAAAGCTAGCGTGAGCGAGCGCTACGGCACGAGTTCTAATCTTGGAATCTAAGAACCAGACTTGATTGTTGTTAGGAGAAGGTCGGTAACTGATTCCTATGAGTCACTTTGGGGCATCTTGTGTTGCTACGGCGACAACGAAAAAGATTGGTGTCAGCGTGAATACCCTATTTGAGTGGCGTTTGTCGATCCCGGCCACTTTAAGACATTCGTAAATGTCCCTCCTCTACGTCGACGAATTCCGGCCCGCCAGTCGTGAAGAACCACCCATATCCTTCACCAAAAATGGTCTTTTGCGGAATAATCGTTTTATTAACAAGGTTCGGGGTGTTAGCTGTGACCACTTCAGAGGATATTGTACAGGTCATTGAAACTCGGTCGCCAAATATGGTCGCAGAACTTTATGGTGTGCGGGAAACGTTAGTGTAGCCTTCACCTACTTGGAAAATTGTTAGAGCGACTTCACAAGGCTAAAACTCACAACATCAAGTACACAAGTAGAGTTGTTTGAGAGGTGAGTCGCAGCGCTAGGAGTTCAACACGAGAGCGAACTTACGGCTTAGTGGACAAAATTAAACTATACGAGTGAAACGTAGAAGTCTAGATATTGATGCTTTACTGGCGTTAATCATAGAAGCTACAAGGGCTGGAATTCATGTCATGTGCATAAGGACAGCGAGGGTGGAATAGGTTCACATTAAAAGTGGTACAAAAATTTATGGATCGAAAACGTTGTCATACTATATTTACCCTGGAGTCTAGACGATTAAGTAGCCATGAAGACAAAATCCGCAAATTAAAACGACATTATTATGATATGATATTGGTATGAACATAAAAAAGCATTTATTAACAGTAAGTTTGGATTATCACGCATCTGGCCGCTCTGGAGGAGGACCACACGGCTGGAGCATCCTTTCCATGAGGTTGAAACGGATACGAGCCTTGGATTCATTTTCGCAAACAGCTAGGTAATTCAACAAGTCAAAATGGCCCAAATAGGACGCACAGCTGTCGCGATGTTGATTTGTCAACCATTCCCATTTTAATGTGTCAGCATGGCCAGTACCTAAAAACTAGTGAGGAAATAGTTGCCATACCAACATATTTTGATTGGAGATGTTCAAGTTGTGTGTGAATATTGTAGCGATCCCCCATCAGTTAACGAGTAAAAAAAAACACTGATTCAAGGAGTGCGCTGCTTGTCAAGTACCTTAAAACATGCACTCTAACTAAATTGTCTTTTTGAAAAAAATTCCATACAATAAAGTTAACGATTTTGGTATTTGTATTTTAGAGTTGCAAAATTAAAATTCCAGTAACGTTCTATATTAGTCTTTGAACAGCACGGACTCAAAAGCCATGATTTTATTAAGAAAGCCGATGTATATTTGTGGGTCAAACTTTGAATATCATGTGAAATATTTTATTTACTAGACATTTTTTTGCTTTTAAATGTTTTTTACCATTAATTACCAAATATTTAACATTGACTAGAGGAATTAAATAATAATAAAAACCATAGCTCTTCCTTGGTGGTTGATGAAAAATGAAGATAATGGCAAGTTTTGATGATTTCACCTTCTTTTTGACAAAATTAATCTCTTCCCTTTTCCAGACATTGTCCTGATTATTCATTAATGATTGGGTCTTTGTGAAATCGAATTATATTATTCAGTTTTCGAATAAAAACATTTTTTTCGAACCCTTATAATATTCTTTTTAACAAAATTCATAGGTGGAAGTAAGATCTTATCAGGAATATTACTTTGGGAGCCCACTAACAGTAGACAATGATTCAAATTCTCGTTGACGCTTGATTAACCATGGAAGATATTAAGTCTGATAAAGGATCTAGTGACCCGCTAATCCTTAAAAGCCATGTTTTACCTATTTGTACAATGAAGGACTAGTAACAGATGTTACAAAAATGTAGGGGTAAAACATGCACTGCCAGGCCCAATTTTTTGAACAAATGATCTCAAAAATGCACCTAATCATCGGAAAAGTTGGTGTTTTAGTGCAAGAGTGGACTGCAACAGTGTCAAAATGTTTGTCGTTAATTTACAAAGGTGGCTAACAAACCCAAACCGATTTCTGGAAGTCTTAGGGCATTATATCATCAGGCAATTAAGAGAATTGAATCAGCTTTGAAAAAAAATTAATGCTTAGACAAGCGGTCTTGTAGTGCCTCCCAGTTATACACTGACGAATGACAAAAGACAATTGTAGCGGTTAGAAAATAGGATTTCAAAACCTTTTTTCAACCTGATACTGTGTTTTTGCAAACTTTATACGAACAGAAGAGAAGACGTCGCGTGAAAACTTCTACGTTGCAAAAAAATACGAATTCAAGGAAATACGAACCAGCTTTAAACTCTGCATTTGGACACGGCCTTAAAGCTAAACTCTAGTGATACCGCAAGATGGTAGACGAAGGTAAAGAATGCGCAAGTGATAAACTTAAGGAAACCGAATTACCATTATTTTGATGACTGTCAAAATGTTTTAGAAATTCAATCATAAAGTTTGTTCTTGTATTGTTCTATACCTTAACATGCTTTCACTTTTTTGAACATCACATGCAGTTAGCGAGTGAAATTAATGATACCAAGTTAAAGTACGCTCTGCGGTTTTACCGTAAAGATGAACATTATCGATATAGCATCTTCACACAAGAATGACCAAAATGTGAAGTTACTGAAGTAACACTTGAAAATATTGGCGTGCGCAGGTCTAAATCGGGATCGCAACTTGTAAAATATTAGTCATTTTAGCACTTGGGTGTGTATTGGAACCAATTTCCAATACTTTTACATTGTATGAGCATTGTTTTGGAACTATATTAGTGGATTGGGCATTAGAAAATTGCGGAAACTTTCATATTACTTATGCGTTTTTCTGTTTTCCTTCAAATTCTATAAAGAGCTGGTGAAATTAAATAATTTGTTTAAACTTGTCACGACCTCAGGGGTTTCACTTGTTTCTGCGCATGCTCAGATCAATCACAGCTTTCATGATCACAGAATGCAGTTAACGCTGCCCTGCCAATTATACGCCATGAAGGAGAAGTTAACAGCAGTGAGTGAGGTAGAGGGACGACGAGTGCGTGCGAAATGTGCATTTTAGAGTGGAGGGATGGAGGTGAGGCCAAGGGGCCCCTTCCCCTTGATGACGGCACTGGCTGTGCCCGGATGCTTCGACGTCAGATTCAGCAACTTGGCTTCGGCGGTCGCAGTGTTGAACGGCGAGATGAGCGAGGGGTTGGCGTTGAGCGGTTGGATTCCCAGGTTCACCGGATGACTCAACTCCTCCACCAACTTTTGCTGACAGGCTCCCCACAAGTCGACATAGGCCTGCAGTCAAATAAATTTGGGTTTTTGTACTAATAGCCAAAATCGGGTAAAGGCACTTATTTGAATGCTTGCGATGGATTTGTTTCATAGCACCCTGGCTTACTGTGTAATGCAATTTCGACATCATCTTGCATCTCGCATTAGCGCGGAGACCTCTGAATATGTCTTGATTATGACTTCTGATTGTTTAATTTCTCGCCTCAGGTTATTTAGTTGAATAAAAAAGAGCATACCTTAGCCATACGCGACACCTCGTATTGCAGCTCCTTGATTGCTGTGTTCTTCTTGCACAAAAGTTCCTAAAATGTGCAGAATTATCAAACGTCATTTACACCCAAAACAGGAAAGCCTTTTTAATTGTGTAAAAAAGACAGTTAATAGAAGTACACCACAGATTTTTTTCCTAATTTGGGTTTGTTAATCACTCACCACTAACTAAACTAACCACGGCCGATAAGATTTCGCCAAATCGCAATAATTTATAAAGCCGTAAGGAACAAGAGGTCGAAAGTCAAGCGCACGCCAGAGGTAGACGACCAAATCAACGCCACGATGCCAACTTGTGGTGATCAGGTGGGAAAATGGGCACTTCAACATGGCCGACCACGAACAGCCAGCTCGACCAATAGGAGAGCAGGAGGGGTGAATCACAGTCAGCCAAGTCAGAACACTAACCTCAAGGTGCTTGCGAGACTCCTGCACTGCCGCGGGGTCCGCATTCATGGCCATGATCAGCGTGTGCAGTTCGGTTTCTTTGGCTTCCATGATCGTCACCAGGTGGCCGAGCTTCCTCTCCAAGATGGCGCTTCGAAGGCCGGCTTTCTGCTTGATCTCGAGCAGTGTCGACTCCATCTCGTCGTTCAGACGCTTTCTTTGAGCCTCCGCCTACAACATATGAGGGGTTCACTCTTGACGCAGAATGTGCTTCAATTGGACGAAATCTGGATTTCGTGCGATTTCTTGCCTTTGCGTGTTCAGGGCACGCGTCAGCAAGGTCTGACGTACGCTAAAGCCAGACTCATGGATATCTCCTTGGAGCTTACTTGCTTTAAGTCTACCTGTGCTCTTTTTTATCATAAATGTCAATACGACACGTCAAAAAATGCAAAGTGTCAAAACCAATGTGCTTAAGTAAGCCTTGTAGCGGATTAACAGCAATCGCGCCTGAGTGAACCCTGGTTACAATGACTCATCTCCTCTCTCATTGGTCGCTGTATCAGATGCCTGTCATCCGTTTACTCATCCACAAACTAAGATACACTTGGCTGGCATGACGCTAATAAACCATCGTGTTCACTGTCGCCTCTTTTGCTAATCTTCTCGGGTTGTTACGGGCTGTTAATTAGAGGGTTGTAAGGTAGTGCTAGACCCTAGCCACTACAAGCCAAAAGCAATTGGTTTGGCTAGAATTTTGAGCAATTGGGTTAGCGTCATGTCAGGCTAAAAGAATAAAGCATGTCGATACGAGGCGCGATTTACTGAGTAATCTAGTCTGTCTCGTTATGACTGCACAGCGATCATCGGTAATTACTGCATTATTTTGCACTGTTCTACAAAGCTCTGTAATTTTTTGTGGAATGAGGGAGAGCTCGAACGCAGCTAGGGATGTTTTGCATTTGATTTGGTGAAACTGCTGCGAGCAGCGAGCCAGCACAGTTTGCAAGCGTGCTTTGACTTAGCATTTATCAACGGGGTCTTCTTCACGTGCGAATAATGATTTTTAATTTAAAGTGATGAGGCAGACTAGAAACCTGAGCGATTTTGTTATCTACAAAGCTTCGACACCAGAGTTCGCGGTTGCTAAGCAAAACACGCCTTGACCACATGTCAAGCGACTCTTATCAATTTTTTGACGCTTTTCTGCCCTTAAACCAAAGCAATCCGGCCAACGATAATGCGACGATGTCTATTGCTGTTGCGAATCAAAAATTATCCCTTTTTACTTTGACGATCACAAAACACCGAAATTCGCTTGCCGAGTCAATTAGCATTAATGATATAATGAAAAAAAAACTAATTTTGACTTGCCTCTTCAAGTCGCGCCTGGGCTATGTTGAAGAGCATTTCATTTTTGACCTTCGCCTTGTTAGTAACTCGCAGATTGGTCTTCGTAACCTTTGTTTTTTAAATGAAAAAAAAAGTCAATTTGTAAATACGGGATGATGCAACCTTCGACAGACTTGTCGCACTACTTATAACATTTGAAACGTCAAGTTTTTTTAAAATATACCATCGAACATCCTCAAGACGACTTTCTTCAATCGTGATTATGGTTCTGTTTGTGCCCAGAATTTAGTCGTAAGAAACGGGCTACTTAGTAGGAAAAGTAGCACATAAAATATCGATGGAGTGTTTCTTTCTTAACTACACTTCACTGACAACCCCACCACTATTGTGATGTGGCACCCGTGGTGAGGTGTTTCACTGAAGCTTACAGTGTGGGCAAATTTTTCGGCTTCATAGAGTTGAGCGACCTTGCGCAGGTTCTTATTTAGCTCCTCAGATTCCTCCAGTTTCTTCTTGTACTCAGCCGTCTCCGCAAGACTCGCCTCCAAGTCACGCTGCATCCGTACGAGGTTTGAACGAAGTTCCTCGATGTTCTCCTGCATGTCCAAAACCAGGGATGAATTTTTGGGTAATGTATGCGTCATCTGGTGAACAGTGTAGAACTCTGCTTCATAGACCGTAAAATCAGTTTTACTTATGGTATTTATGTAGCGATGTTTTACAGCAGTAAAAACCTAGTCAGGTCTTCAAACCAAAAAATGCGTTCAACTGCAAATAGTACCTTTGGTGATGGCTATAAATAACGCAGATCCTCCCTTGTGTTGCACACCAACCAAACGCTCATATTAGCAAATTTGATGAGCTATTAAACGCACCTTCAAAGTCTTAATGACGTTAACGTTGCCCAAGGTGATGTCGTTGTAGTAGCTTTTCATGCCGTTGAAGGCCTTGTCATGAGCCATTTCGAGCTGCTTTATATGGATGTTTTTGCGCTCCTCGGTGGCGTGAATTTCGCTCACGCGCTTCGTCTCCAGCTCCTCGCGCAGCTCAGCCGCCTGTTTAGCGGCCCTCTGCTCCATCTCTTCCGCCTGTTTAATGAACTCCTGGCGAAGTTCTGTCATCTACAAGAGGTTGTCACAGCTGCTGTGGTCAATCCATGTCAAAATGCACATTCTGTGGATCTATTCGGCATGCCGACCAATCCCACACATCGACCTAGTAACCCACTTTAATCTCATCCTATTGGCTTAACATCAAGGTCATCCATTGTCTGGCTGAGGTAGTAAAAATAATTACAATAAACTTAAGATGTGCGTTCGTCAAACGTTTCGTTCGTTCCTATGTCGCGTGTTTGGGCAGTAATTCTGAGTTACACCATTCTTACCTAGGATTTGCACATTTTTCTGTTCACTGCATCAAGGTTCAAAAATCGTTCAAAAAATAATAACAATTCAGTAAGCTGGAGGCAATTAGGCACTTGTAGTGCGAAAGGTTAGGTGTAAGCAAGACGTGCGGTAACAATTTTGAGTTTTAAAGTTGCGTTGAATTCAAACTCGCCCCGCTTATGTCTTCGAAATTTACAAAATGAAAGATAGAGCCCGGCAGTTTTAACTTTACAATAACGGCTTATTAAAACAATCATTCGAAGTAAGGTCTGAGTACTTATGAAACGCAAAGAAAATGAATCCCCTTAGACTCCTTTCGGTTTATGCATCACGGAACCTACATTTTTGGATAATTCAAAGCAGCCTCACAATGTGGTTTAAGTGAGCACTACGATTTCAATTAAATTACTTATATGGACATTTTGGTGAATGTTGACGCTGTTGTGGACGGGGAAAACAAGCAGGAAACATGCCTATTTTTTACTTATTTCATGATATTTAACTTAATCAGATTCATATTGCACCTAGCTAGTGAAATTTAAAAGCACGTGTACGAATCCGCCCAAACCTAACAAAAAATCGTGATAAATTCACAGAAAAGAAAACAGTCAAAGAAATCAGAACATTAAACTCTGGTTACAAGTTTGCGTTGCAGATCACTAATGAGTTCAAGGGCTATACCTCAGTTTCGTGCTGTCGTTTGAGCATTTTAATGGCCTCCTCAGACTCAAGTTGTCTGAATCGCATTTGCGCCTTTAAGGTGTAATTTTCATCGTGCAGTTCCTGAACCTCCACCCTCGTCTCGTCTGCCATCGCGTTCAGCGTCACCGCCGTCTCCCTCTTCACGTCCGACTGCTTGGCGTTCTGCTCAAAGAGTATGTGCTTCACCTTCTGTCGGTAAATGCGCATTTCCATCTGGTGGCGCTCCTCAGTCTCCTCCAATTCGCGCTCCTTCTTGCGCAGCAAGTTCCTCGCGTCTTCCAGCTGCTTTTTACCAACCTCCCAAAACGTGGAGATTTTGTCGCGTTCGAGGGCGAGCATGTTTCGCTCGGTGCGTTCGCGATCCAACTCGTCGCGAAGGAGAACTACATACTTTTCTATCTCCTCTTTAGTCATCTCCGTGGTAACGACACCATGGATGACTGTTGCGGTTCTGTTTTTGCCTCTCTTTTTGCCCTACATAAAAGACTGATTACATAAACTTGATTTCTAGGCTGAATTATTTATTGCTTCTGTAGCTGTTGCCTCTGCAGAGGGGATGTTATATTCCAAACTTGTTTTCTAGCCGTTGCGACACAATTGTGTTTAAACCGCTATTAAAGGAATCCATGTACATTTTTTATACTGGAGTGTGTTGATTGAATGTATGCATATTCGACTTCGAGTCGCAAGCTAGCCTGTTGACAAGCGGTTAGTGTAAACATTAAAACGGGGTAAATAAGCATATTTATGCTTATTTATTTAATGTGAAGTGACTTGTTGCGCTTTGTAGGTCTCATATCAGAAAATAAAAACAAGTAACTCAATCTATCGTGAGCTTGAGAAACAGTGCTGTTCAATGTCCACGTTTTCCAGCAACACGGACTGACCTAATTTGTGATGATGCCAGTCCATCAAAGCCTTGATTCTTCTACGAATCAATAAGACGACATATATCAGTGTTCTTCACAAAATGTTTTCATATTAAGACTAATTAATGATTGAAAAAGAAATTTCTTCCTGTGCCGAAATGTTCGAATTTGAATTCGCAATGTAAAAATTTTCTACCGTTTAGATCTCACAGTCATCTGATAGTGTCAACTGTAATTCAAAGTAAAATTTTCCAATAAAACTGATGAATAAAAGGAAGTCCGTTTTCGCAGGTTGGAAGTAGAATTATAGATCTAATTCACAGAAGCAGAAACTTTAGATAACAACTGAAACAACAGCTAATGTTTGAAGCTATACAGTCAAATTACCAAAATCATCATGCATAAATGAAAAATTTTTTTTACATAAAAATTTAAGCTTTCAAATTAACTTAATGTGACAGATCACCAAAAGAGCAAACATTACCGTTAAATTCAATTTTTATATTAAGTTAGAAAATTCTTTAAAAAGATCAGCAATGCTTTAGTAATTTGATTCAATTAATCTACCATGGCTAGATTGCTCTTTGTGTGATATCGCGCGTCGTGACCTCGGTTTTAAAAGACTCAAGGTCATATTGTATACTTATTTTAACAGAAAATTGTGTTAGTAAGCCGTTTTTTATAAATGCAGCAAAACCTTATTAAAGTAAAATATATACGTAAAAATTATAACTGCGTGAAATAGTTTAGAACCTTGGAAATGTAAAAAAACAGAACGTTGAGTTAAAACGGGTATAAATTAATAATGTCGAGTTGCAATTCTCGAAATATATGCATCACAAAATCAATTCGATATTTTTTATCAGAAGATGATTAGGGTATATCTGCGTAGGTAGCCTGCCAAAAGTGGTAAAAATAATACATTTCTCCTTACTGAATACAAGTAAAATAGCAGTTCATTTTAACTACTTCCTTGGATGGTAACAATTTAAATTCCTGAAACTGAGCATATCATATTTTTGCCATTTTACATTTTTAATTATGCAAGGAAATTCTACATCTTGTCACTTTCTAGAGATCTTTCATGGAAAACTCGAAATCCAAAAAATCAATTTTTATAAGTCGTCATTTTTCTTTTTAGTGGGAATTCAAAATAACTAGATTTTCTGGTGTTGGTAACAATTTTTTCTACAGGCTTTAGTAACTCTCATAAATAGGTCAAATAATTACAGGGACTGATAATCGCTAAACCAGATTCACAGACAAGTTGTATGCGAAATGAGTTGAGAAATATAACGACTAGTAGGTAAATATAATCATTACAGTACTGAGATTTACTAGTTATCTTTCCTTCTGCGATAGTTTATCAAATAAAGGAGCCGTTCGTTTGGTTCAGGTATACGGCATGAACCTCCTTATTGCGATGTTTTGGTTCAAATTCAAATAAAAATAAACTTTTAATGAAACATTTGTCTTCGATTGCAGGAAGTCAATTGAAATAAAAATTTCATCTTTTCAAATCTGGCTTCATAATTAGCTCAAGTACATATACTTTCGATGGCTGTACCTTGGTTTTCATGTTGAAATAACCGTCGTTATTTTGATCAGGGATGAATAATGCTGGAATTGTTGTGGGCCCATGCATGTGGTCTTGGACCACGCCAGAGCCACGGAATTAACCCTGACCCGATTACGCTTCTGGATACCCACGATGAGGAAAAATGATAGGAGAGAACGGGACACAACCGCTTACTTCAGAGCTCAACCTCATTGGTGTCGTTTTATCGTGTGTGGGGTTTGCGCATGTGTATTTATAGCTCGGATGTGTGAGTCAAATATGCGCTAACACCGAGACCTAAATGTGAGGGTAATCCAAAATACATATTCGTGCTAATGAAGGAGTTGTTGAGGATTCGCGCAGCGTGCGATATGCTGCGACAAGGGGAACCCTGTGTCGAAGGTGGAGAGACCGGATTAAGGGGTTGAATAAACAGAATTCACGACAGAATAATTATTAGGACACCAGAAACACAAAAGTATTACAATCCCCTGACAAAACCAGCGACTCATTATTTCTTTAGTGCACTTCAAATAAATTTTCGTTTCAAGGTATGGTGAAATGAAATTTTAAGAGCAAGCCAATTATCATAGACTAGGCACGCGGAAATACCGTTCTTCTAACCCTGAATGCTTTTGGTTTCAATAACTGGATTTCACATTCACGGATAAATTTGCAGTAGTTTGTCATTTCAAATTCCTTTGCGGCTCATCTCCTTCCAACTACACCGAAAGTGGAGTCATTGACATCCTTATGGGTAAAGTTAAAAGCTGTTGCTAAAATAAACAATGCCCTTGTTAGGCTTTTATCAAGGGAAGTTAAAGATACACAGCAAACAGAATCTTTTGAATATTTTGATACGAATTACTTCGTCTTTTGCAACTCGATATAAAAAATGATTATTGAGGAAGGGTCCCGCACATTCATGAATTGAAGGTGACACGAAGATTAAAGAAAGCCGCACTATGAATAACCGCAATGATTAATACTTGATTGCCTGGCATGTGTGTGGTTGTGTGTTGCATACCTTCTGTCTTAACAAAAATGTAAAATTTGACAGAAACGAAGACATAACAATAGTCAATAAGAGTTGGAAGGAGAATTTGTTGACTGCATTGACCGAAAGGGAAGGAACTACGAACATTGAGGACGTTTGTTGACCAGACTTGGCAAAAGGCCTTCATTATAGTCGATTCGTTTAATACCATTTTACCCATAAAAAAATTAGTGCAGTTCAGCAAAGATTTAAATTTGGCAGACCTTTCAAAATGCACTGATTGAAATCAAAATGGTGGTTATTATTTAGGGCATGCAGTAGTTCTTCAAGAATCTGCCATACGATATAAAAATTCTAGAATGTTCGGGCTGTGCACCATTTACTGAATGCTGTGAATATTTATATAAATTGGTGGCTTTGGATTATCGAAAATCCATTAACCACAGAAATTGGCTGGTTCATGTGTTTTTAAGTGTTTCAGTTATGTTTTGAAGAATTGCATTTGAATGTTTGCTCCCAGCTTCTTACATAATTTTAAAAGATTTTTAAGGGAACTTAATCATAGTCACACAGCTAACTTTGCACACATCATTACGTCTACAGCCTTATCGAGATTTCTTTGTTTAAATCTACAAAAATTGCCTCGATCGTGTTCAGCTTTCATTTCACTTTATCAGGATCAGAAAAACCAAAACCAATAGGAATTGTTATGCTTAGTTTACACACATATTTAAGCCAAAAAAACATGTTCTTTGCGGATAAAAAATCCCTTTTTACATTGGATACTTTAGAACGTACGAATTTCAATCGCCCCCGTCACATGGGCATAATTTAGAGGGAGGCTAAAGCCTTTATTGTTTTTGATTGGCTAATCTAACTTCGAAGTGGTTTAAAGGCAAATCTGATTCCAGAAATAAACGGCAGCATTCACCTTGAAGAAGATATTGTTTTCAACCAGAAAATCTAAATAAATCCGGTCGAAGCTAAAGGCAAAACATGGCCACAAGCCTTAGGAAATTGATCTCTGAGTAAAGGCAGGCATATTATGAACGCCTATCCTATTGTCAGTGTGCTTAATTTCATTTTTAGAGTCACTGATTAGTAGGCCATAAATGCACATATTACAAGACAACCTAACCTTCCAATGAGCGACGTTATTCTGTGTGATTTCAACGGGAAAGGAAAATTACAAGATGCGTGCGTAATTCTAAAACTCAAGAGCGCTCACTCGCGCAACTGGATAGCCATTTATGGCAATAAAGACCTATTCTGACAGGTGTGCAAGTGCTATAAAGGGCCCCACGTTACTGGAGCCGGGTTAGTTGCATCTTGGCGAAGTCAAACGACATGGCGGAAGAAATTCAACCTCTCGTAGTGGACAATGGGTCGGGTATGTGCAAGGCCGGTTTCGCCGGAGACGACTCTCCTCGTGCCGTCTTCCCCTCCATCGTCGGTCGACCCAGACAACAGAGCATCATGGTTGGCATGGGCAACAAGGACAGCTACGTCGGTGATGAGGCACAGTCCAAGAGAGGCATCCTCACACTCAAGTACCCCATCGAACACGGCATTGTCACGAACTGGGATGACATGGAGAAGATCTGGCACCACACCTTCTACAACGAACTCCGTGTCGCCCCAGAAGAACACCCCGTTCTCCTCACCGAAGCCCCTCTCAACCCCAAGGCTAACCGTGAGAAGATGACCTCCATCATGTTCGAGACCTTCAACGTCCCCGCCATGTACGTCGCCATTCAGGCCGTGCTCTCCCTCTACGCGTCTGGTCGTACCACCGGCATCGTCCTCGACTCCGGTGATGGCGTCAGCCACACCGTCCCCATCTACGAGGGCTACGCTCTACCACACGCCATCCAGCGTCTCGACCTGGCTGGACGCGATCTCACCGAGTGGCTCGTCAAACTCCTCACCGAACGCGGCTACTCATTCACCACCACCGCCGAACGCGAAATTGTCCGCGACATCAAGGAGAAGCTCTGCTACGTGGCGCTTGACTTCGACAACGAAATGAACACCGCCGCGACCAGCTCGTCACTGGAGAAGACCTACGAACTGCCTGACGGTCAAGTCATCACCATTGGCAACGAGCGATTCCGCTGTCCCGAGGCTCTCTTCCAGCCCAACTTCCTCGGTCTCGAGTGCACTGGCATCCACGAGACCACGTACAACTCCATCATGAAGTGCGATCTGGACATCAGGAAGGACCTCTACGCCAACGTCGTCATGTCCGGCGGCTCCACCATGTACCCTGGCATCGCTGACCGCATGAACAAGGACCTCACCGCCTTGGCGCCCACCACCATGCGCATCAAGATCATCGCGCCACCGGAGAGAAAGTACTCCGTGTGGATCGGTGGTTCCATCCTCGGCTCATTGTCC